GATTTTAGGCGGTCGCAAAAATCGGTCGCAAATCGGCGATTTTTTTGTAGTGATTCAACTATACAAAAAAAGTAATCAATAATAATATTTATTTAAATAATAGTATTCATGACCATACACGGAAAATTTTTTTTTTAATTAATTTAGTGTATGAGACCTTCCATATAGCGGGTGGAGGCATGTCTTATCCTAAATCATAAGATAAATTAAGCAATATGACAGGCTGTATATCTTCAAGAATGTGAAACACGAAATGATTAGAAAAGTCAAATTATTGATAATCTTTAATATAATTTATAAAATAAAAATTAGAAACAGGAAGAAAAGAAATATTTTAGTAATTTTTTATTATTTCGAGGCATAAGGGTGTGTATGGATTCAGTCAGGACATGAATTATATAATTTTCAATCCAAATTAAAATATCGACATAAAAAATAAGTCGTATTACATTTTTTAAAATGGGAGAGGAGGGAGATTCAGATAAAAAAAATGAATGGGTTAGGTTGGAAATCAATAGGATTTTTCTTATTCTTATTAATTTCATTTTACAGAAAAAAATAAAATTTCTATAGTCATTAATTACAACCAAACAAAATTCATGAATAGAAATTTAAATCAAAAAAGCCAAATAATTCAATTATGGATCCACTATAAAGTCATAATTGAATGTAGAAAAATTACTAGTTGTTACTCTTTAGTTAATAAGAGCATCACGTATAATAAAATAAAATAATTTCAAAAATTAGTAAAATTTTATATATATCTTGTGCATTTTAACTCACCCTTGTGTTGATTATTGTTGCTTTAGGTTGATTTAAATTTTTTAATACTTACTTTATCTAATCCCTAACATCATTTGAAAGATAAGTAATAATATCATTCGACATAACCAATAATTAGGTAATCATGTTAATTATGATTAATATTTTCTTTTGTATTGATTAATTTTCTTTTCGTTTAATAGAAAAAATTTATTTAGAAAAATTATAGAAGAAAAATTTACATTGAAAATTTATTTTATTAATTATGCCTTTAAAATTTATTGGTACGGGCTCAGTCATAGTTGAGAAACTATTCTGTTCCAAAATAACGTTCAAAATAATTAATATAGAATTAAAATTTGGGACAGTTTTCGAGAACGGACACCAAATTTCCATGGTCCCATGCACACTTTTAGAGGCATCTTAATTTTTTAAACTTAGAACTTGTTTTTCTTTTTGGTATATATATGCTAAAGAAATAAAAATAAAAATTGAACCGTCCAACCACTTTAGACTTTTAAATTTAGCGTTGTTCGGATTTGCACAGGAGACACAATGCCAGAGATATATAAAATAAAATATATATATAAAATATATATATATATATATTATATAGTTATATATATAGGTTTATATTGGAAGTGTTGTAATCAGTTTGTAAGTTAATTATATCTGCATAGTTTCGTATCAAACTTAATAATTTTGTAAATTAATTTATACCAAAGCTATAATTAATTTTGTTTACACCATTGTACAATGGTATTTTACAGTTTGAGCTTGGAAATTAATATTCAAATAAAATTTGCGATTCCTAACCGTGATGATGTTGGATTCAAACCTCCTATGATAAATTTTTCCTGAAAACGTGCAATTATATTCTGTGTAACCTTACTGCCTGATTAATTGAAAAGAACAAAATGGTTCACATTTTTTTTGATTTATATCCACATGTTTGGAGTTAAGTTTTAGTTCATGTTTGCACCGATTTGATGGGGGAAAACGTTACCCAACTGGGATTTCTCTATTTAGCAATGTTTTGACATTCAACCTCTTATTAAGGGAATCTTAGTTCTTTTGCGAAGCGTGGTAGGAGTGAATGTGCGTCGGTGGTCTAATATTTTTACAATTAATATCAAATTTATATAGTTTTTAAATATAATTTTATTGAATAAAAATAGAAGATAGAGAAGAAGAGAGTAGGAATAACCTTAATATTAAATACCTAATATAATTATTTCTTTATAATGTAAGAGATACCTAATATAAGATAGTTTTAACATGGCCTGATACTTTCAAATTTTAAATTTGGCCTCGACACAAACACATAATTAAATAAGGTGTTTTGGCCTTTGAAAGAGCTAAGAGGTCTTGCAATGTACTTGCATTGAAGCCAGAACATTTAGGACATAATTAAATGTTCTTGCTGGAGTCGAAGCATTTCCCCACATGTTTAGTTCCTAAATTGACACGTAAGTCTCACAAAGCAAACTTAACGAAGATAATAATAGTAATATAATTAAACTAATAAGTTTTGCTTATGCAATCTTAATAGTAACTTTTCATTCTTCCCAGGACATGTTTGAACAAGATTTGAGACATTTTTTCTGTAAATTTTACGATTATTTTCTTAAATATTCGCGAAATTCATAAATGAATTATTGAAATAAAATATTAAGACTTTAAAATAATAAAATGTTATTTAACCCAATGTATGTGATGGACATTTTCCTCGTACATATTTTTGTACTCTCACCGATTTTTTTTCTTTAAAATTTTAGATCTTCTAGCGAAATTCATAATGAATTATTGAAATAAAAATATTAAGACTTTAAAAATAATAAAAAATATATATATTTATAACATAACATAACAACGTAATACCATAACCATGTCAAAAAACACGTAATACCATAACAAAATTTTATATATTATTTATAATCGTATGGTTCTTTAGCTAGAATTGTTTTAACCTTCAGAGTCAAAATCAAATAGTAAATACATATATAACCTAGCAAATATACAATTAAGTTTTTATGAATATTTTGTATTTTGACATCTTAATCGATTATAAATTTTATTATTCTATTTTTCTTAAATGTTCATCGTCTTGTTGATGAAAAAAAAAATGAAAAAAAAAATGTACTTGCATATCAGTGACATCAAATAAATGGGAGTGTATATTGCTCCTTCCGTTTAAAATTATATTCTCAATTTTCTTTTTGGTGTCCCAGAATAATAGTAGTTTCATTTATATTTTTAGAAATATTTTTTTTTTATTTTCTCTCAAAATCTTTATATAATTATGTGTGTGAATAATTAATATTAGTTAAATTTGCTAGACAGTGAAAAAAAAGTTTGAAAATAGTTAATTCTGAAAAAGTTTGAAAATAGTTAATTCTGAAATTGTGATATAAACTACTCATCTTATTTTGAAAGTCTCAAGAATCATTAATATACAATTTTTAGTATATTATGGAAAAACTAAGAAAAAAATAAAATTAAACTATTTAATTTACTATTTTTAAAAATAGGTGAAAAGAACTGAGACTATAATTTTAAGATGGATGAAATATTATATTTATCATATATCGCAGCAAATAAATTCATTGGTTTAATAGAATAAAGATAGCCAAGAAAGACTTTAATAAATTTAGGAAACTAATCTAAGTTAAAAGGCTTATCCGACACATCCATACCTACTCTTAAATAAGTTAAAGAAAACTGAGCCAAAACATCAAACAACACATCATTCATTCTTGAAATAAGAATAAAGAACTAAGACTCATAACATTACACCCAAGTAAGAAAATATTTTTTGGTCTTAACTAGCATCTCAGCCCACTGTACTAGAACTAAATCTTGCACGCACTGGATCGACCCACTAAGAAGTAAAGTGGACCAATGAGTATTTACTCCATCATGAGGATCGAACCCTTGACCTCACTTAAAGAATAAGAGTGTCGAACTATTCATCTCAACGCTCATTAGTTAAACAAAAAAATATTTTGTCGCATGCACTCCTTTTTTTTGCTAATGAATCTTAGAACTAATTCCTGAATCGTTTGACATGAACAAAACTGGCTTAGGAGCAGGATAACAAAAGCTTATCAAGTTTGTTGAATTTTTTTCCACAAATGCCAAGACTTTAATTTGTCCTTATGTAAGACCCAACCTTAAGCAATTTTTGAATCTGATTCGATCAACAAGGGGCTTGACTTTAAAGAAGATGAAGCAAAAATGTGAAGAGCTTCATACAAGGCCAAAAACTCAGCTTCATTCGAGTCCAAAACCCCACCGATAAAAAAATGAAAAATATATATATAATATATAATTTATAATAATATATAATTCGCAACACCCAATGAGTTTCTAGAAACTCATCTAATGTCCGTTGGACCTACCTTACCAATTAGAACAGAGCCTGATGTACTCAATACATCATCCAACTAGTTAAAATGTTAAATGTTATATAAAAGTTGATGAACAGAGCCTGAGGCCATACCTCTCCCAAGTAGTGTCTTTTTCTACTCATTTCCCTCATCTCAGCCTCCTCTCTCCTTCCTAATATATTAACCGCTAATTGTTACATCTGGATATACAAATTGCTACGGGCTTGTTGTAAGCTTAGATCCATCGTCTAAATTTATTAATCTCCTATTAGATCAGCCTATTAGATCAGATCAGTAACGAAGTTTGAGTAATTACAAGTGATTAAGATGAGTCTAAAGCATTTCTTTGCTGGTTACTACGTGGTAGCTCCTTATGCATGCGAGTTTAGGAAATTAAATATTTCATTTTGCAAGAAATGATAGAGATAATATTAAACGTCATTTATTTATTTTAGATCATTGATCAGAGAGTATATTACTACATTTTCATCAATAATTAACAGCAACATGGCTAATCTTATTTAGATATTTAGCCAAAAGTAGGAGTACATTTAGCTAATCTTATTTAAACTGAGATGCTTAACCTAATTACTACTCATTGGTCACATAATAGTTGGGATCAAGCATTGAAAATACACTCCAAAAACCATTGAAAATAATTATTAATTGTACTACAAAAACGAAGTTGATAACTTATTCAGTGAGATTAAAAAAAAAAAAAAAAAAATGAGATTAAAAAAAAAAAAAAAAAAAAATACACTCCAGCTCCAATAAATTATTTCCAGCTCCAAGCTGCTGTGTAAGCAACTTTATCAGGCACTGAAACATCACCAATGAGCACAGATTCATTTACCGATGCACAGATTCATTTACCGATGCTGCACCGCCGAAATGGACAATTCCTCTAACATTAAATTTATCCACAAGGATTTGCACAGTCGTGCCCACGTTGACCTAATTCATATATTGTAATAATAATGGAGAATGTTAAATACACAAATTTATGAAAAGATTTTTACTATGTATATAAACAAAGGAAATATATTGTAATAATAATGGAGAATGTTAAATACACAAATTTATGAAAAGATTTTTACTATGTATATATACAAGGAAAATCCTACCATTAGTTCCCCGGCCCCTGCATATACAACGTCTGTTCCGTTAATTTTCCAAATGCGAAAGATTTTTCCTGTACAAATACAAGAAGCGGTAATGGTATATCAAAAAAAATGTAAACTTTTGAACAGTAATCGTTACCCATGTTTTTTTTTTTCTGAAAGCTAAAATACCAGAACTTAACAGTCGTCATTAATAGCAGATTTAAGTCAAAAACTTATAGAGTCATCACTTCAGACTAATTAATATAGCTTTCAGAAATTTTTAATTCAATTTGTTATTTATAATAATACCAAACAGACCCTTTTTGAATGAATTAAAAAGAAGCTGGTAACGAAGAAAGGATGGGTTACCAGCAATATTCTGAGTGGAGGTAACAGTGAAGACTCCAGATTTATTGAGTAAACACTCAGCCGCACTCGTAAGAGAAACAACGCCCACAGGAGATGTTTGCATGCCAGTGGGTTTTTGTTTAATTTCATGCATGGGGTTTCTCAAACTCAGTGGCATGGACTGTTGCGCCATAGCTAACAGCCCAAGAACCACCACTGAGATTTGAATTGCCCACCTTGCTAAAGCCATTTGATTTGGTGAGATTTAGAGAGAAAATTAAGAGAGTATATTTTTGAAGCGAAGTGAGATGGTTGATACAATAACCTAAACGAAGGCAACGTTTTGGTTGGTGTTTTTGCTCTTCCTCGACAAGGCCTTATATAGACGCAAGTAAGGCACTATTTCATGGCTATCCAATTCCATGTAATTGAAAAATAATAATAAAATAATGGAGAAAACCAAAGATCAAGGATTGGTTCACATGGCACGTAACGCAAGTGGAGTTTCAAACATGGACTTGGTGCCTCGATTATAAATGATGATTTTTCTTGTTTTCTCTTTCATAAATTATTTGTTTTCATTCAATATTGATTTTTCTAAATTGTATCTTAAGATGAACTTTACTTACCAAGTAAAGTATTTTAAATTTAAAATAGCTAGTGTTAGAAAAATTTTATTTGATGCAATTCTAGTTCTAAAATGGAAATAAGTGTGCAAATTAAAAAAATAGAAAAAAAGTAGTTATGTGAAAACACTACAAAAAAAACGCCATTTTGCGACCGACAAATCGGTCACAAAACAGTTAAAAAAAAAAAAAAAAAAAAAACGGAGGAAAAAGTATAAATTAGGTTTGAAAATGAGTTTTGATTATAAAAGCCAACAGTTAGGTATACATATATACATGTTAAAGCTCTATCAAAATAAATTATGGAATAATTTGAGTAAAAAAATCATTTTCTCTTGAATTCCAAAAAAAGTTGGTCTTTTGTCTCGTTTTAATTTATAAACATAAGTTGCTAATAAATTTTTTTTTATTTTACCAAGAGTCCTCCATCACCCGTTTAACGGTTAGATGAGAGACTAATCCGGAAAGAAAGAGCGATTATATTTTAAATGCCATATCTAAGATGCTGAATTCATAACTCGATTGTGCGATCACCAAAGTGAGATATAACGCAATTCAACTATTAAACCAAGCTACGTCGGATAAGTTGTTAGTAAATTTAATAAAAAGAAAAGAAGAGGCCCGGATAAAGTTAGTATCTATCCTAGCATACAAAAAATATTATTTTTTTTATAAAAATATTAATATTTTTAGTCACGTGCTAAATTTAATATTTTTTTTTATTATATCGAAAGAATTACAGAGATAGGCATTACCTATACCATGTGCTCAACCAGGACAGTGAGGGAAAGGGGTAACTGAAAAACAAATGAGACGAGACAACGCACTCTAAAATTAACAATTATTTCAAAGGGCTTTCTTTTTTGTCGCTAAAGCTCTAACCTTGTCGCCAAATCATTTTGTGACAGGATATAATCAACACTTTCTTTTTGCTAAATATTTCTTGCGGCGATTAGAAAACTTTCTTAGTAATGAAAATTTAAAAAAAAAAATTAAGTTTTTTGATGTTTCCAAAACAGGTAACTGAATTAAAACTTAATAGTGTATATATATGATGGGAGATGATTTTAATTGCAAGATTGTTTATCTTCATAACATTTAAAACTTTACAGAAAATGACGTATTGCACCCTAAAAATATATGATGTTATAACATCTCTCCCTCTCCACATTAACAATAATAGATTTTTATTAATTTGATACATGATTATTATAATTTTTCAAACAATAAATTTTTATTTTTTAATTATATAATAATGGTTTAATCAATTTAATTTTATAATTAAAAATTATATAATAATGTTTTAATCAATTTTAATTTTTAAATTAAAATAATTCAATAGAAAAATTTTATAAATTAAGATATTAAATTGATAAAGAAATTAGTGGCCATTTCCATATTTTTGGCACATAGAAAAGTTAATATAATATTTTTTTCTAGAATGAAAACTAATATTATTTGTTTCAAGAAAAAATGACTCAATAGTTTTATATTTTTCTACATAGTTTATATTTTTAAAAGAAAAAAAAATCTTCTATTTGATTTTGATAAATTTCACTAGTCTCTAATATTCATGTAAATTTGAAAAAAAAATAACGTACCTTCTCATCAAATATTTTTAAATTATAAATATATATTTTCTACAAAAATTAACAGAGCATACCAATTAAGAAACAAGGACTATCTTATAACATATGATGGGAGATGATTTTAATTGCAAAATTATTTATATACTTTAAGTTTCAAGCAAATATCTTAAATTTTAAATACTTTATTTGACCGAGTATCACAAATTCTTTATAAATTTGTAACTCTTGGTATAATTATTTGTATTAAATTTCTTAACATATCGGGTATACATACATATGCTTGGTATATTTCTCCTTGCTGATTCACACGGGATTCCACGTGCCCCATGCTACTTGGGTCAGAGCGTAAGCTAGTGATGCTTTCGGCTACTGGACTCTCGCCATCTAGGGTGCAGCACTCCACCGCTTCGCCTAGCAAAGCAGCACGACGCTTGTATTGCTCTCCCACAATCCCGTTTTCACGGTTTAGGCTGCTCCATTTTCGCTCAAGTTTCCGCTACTGTACTATTATGATCAACTGGATAATTAGATTTTCATTTTAAAAAGATGTAAACCTTAATTAAAAAATATCCTATAATTATAAATAAAGAAATAGTACTATTTATTTATGTGGCGGAAAGTTTTAAAAGAATGTAAATTAATTAAAAAATATCCTATAATTATAAATAAAGAAATAGTACTATTTATTTATGTGGCGGAAGGCCGCGGGAAATGATTTTGCTTGTTTTTTTGAGAAGATAATGATTGTGCAATTGCGAGATATAGAGTTCCAATTTGCATGAAACTGATCGGATAGGTTAAATTTCTGACAAGTTGGACAAAAACGACACCGCATGGACAATAATTGTGAAACCCACTGACTTGTATTTTCTTCTAATAAAGAAGCATATGGCGCAATCCAATTCCGATTCGCCACATTTTATACATCATCAACGTCCAACAGATTTTTCCTACTCACCAAATTATTTGGTCTCATTAAAACCTATTTTTAAAACTACTACTTTCTCAAGTTTTTCACCCTACCTTCATTTTTTTTTTACTGTAGTATTCACTCAACTCATGAATGTTTGAACTTCAAGAAGCCAAGTGTTTGATTGATATTAAAAATTTATAAAAGATTTTAACAAACAGTTATATCAATAGAAATCAACTGTATTTTTATTTATAAAATTAAGAGTTTGAAAATTTAGAGTTGCTACTTGAGAGAACTTATCTTAATATTATCACATCCATACACCTTGAATTTGAAGACATGAATAAAAAAAAAAAATTCCTTTGAAACTTTAGAATAATTTTTTCAAAAATAGAAACAATTTCAATCAAAGCTCATACAATTCATAATAATTTCCCAAAAAAAATTATAGAAAAACTTAATTGTTAATTTTAACTGTAGTTTGAAGATATTCAAGTGGTTACAAATCTCACATCCACCGTATATGTATAGAAGCTTTTTAAGTAGTTGTTCGTAAAGACAAGAAGCGTTATTTTTTATATTGCTCGGCCACTTAATGTTTGAATTAACTTTTAGAAATTAATATAATTTTTCTGAAAAGACAATTAATGTTATTGAACTGACATATAAAATCCACAAAAAAAACATATAAAAGTAATAAATTAACTACCTAATTGGTTGATATTAATTTTTTAACTTTAGTTCAACCCAAGTTTAAATAAGCCCACGTCACATTGTTTTTACCTCATGCTTTGTAGCCTCCGAAACATGTTACTCCACTGTTACTTTCAGAAGCATTTATAGCCGTAGGATTAGGTTTGGTGTTCCGTTGGAAACAGGTCTGAGTTTATTTTTGTTAAATTTTAATGGACGATGCACAAATTTGAACCGATAAAAAGGCGGTCTACATCCTACCCTATCGGACAATCACTTTGTCCTCTATAAGAATAATTTCAGCCTGACATGTGGATAAGACTTGTTAAATTCTAACACCACATCAGAATACGTTGGTCCCACCTCTGCACTTATGTATTAAAAGCCAACCACGAAAAAAGACAAAATTTAGTTTGGGTTTGATTTTATTTTTCGTTGGTTCAAATTTTATTTATTTTTAAAAGATAATTTATCTTTTTTCGTTGGTTCAAATTGAATTTCAGAATATACATATATATATCTATACATATATATAGAGAGAGTTTTTTATTTTTTTTTTCTCTCTCTTTTGGGACATATTTGATTTGCATAATATGGTGAAACATGCAGGACGTACACGTTAAAACAAAAAGTGTATGAAAGCATTAATGCAGGCTCTATTCATTGGACGATGTTGATAGGTGGGTCCCATACCCTCCCAAAAGATTGTCTTGTCTACTTTAATTTAGATAGTGGGACCTGCGAATACTGGAAAAAAAGGATGTTCTCTTCGCGCGTTTTATTCTGCACGTTTCAATGAATCTCTTTTTTTTTTTTTTAAAAAAAACTATATATAAAGTCGCGGATGAGCTATATTATACAAATTATGATTAAATCAATAAGCATTTTAGAAAGGATTCTTGCAATACATAGCTATCTCAAGGAAAATTTCTAACCATTTTAAAAAGAAAATCAGGACATACATCGTACACAGCAACCATGAGTCCTCAATAGTACGAGAAAGATATTTCCTTTTTCTTTTTTTTTTTAAATTCCTCTTTCCCGATTGAAAAAAAAGATGGAGGAATGTGCTTCTACTTAGAAAATTTCACTTTCTTAAAAGTAATAATGTAAGGAATATTGGATATTCCGTAAGAATATGTTTTTACCTATAAGTAGTTAGCTCTTTCGGTAATTATTAATAATTTTAATAGTATTTAGCTGATTAATTAGTTAGTAACTGACTAACTATTTTAAGTAATTTTTTATAAAACGTTAACAACTAAATGTTAGCTGTTTAAATACATGCGCTCCTTAATTATTGGCTTATTATATAAAATTACCCCTAAGCTTTACATTTAAAAATTTACAGAAAATGACGTATTGTACCCTAAAAGTTATGATTTTATAACATCACTCCCTCTTCACATTAGCAATAATAGATTTTTATTAATTTGATACATGATTATTATAATTTTTAAAATAATAAATTTTTATTTTTTAATTATTCAATAATGGTTTATTATAAATTTTTTTAAAAATAAAAT